CAGTGTACCATATTAAATCAACATAAACCGGTACCGGATTTATAAGATCAATAATAATACGCGCGTCACCATAAGACAAATAATAATGGCCACATCAAAGGTGTTTGTCAAAGTGCATGGAGTATGTATTGTATTAAAAACTAATTACTGTAATTTCATTACAATTATATAAACCTATTGTATTAATACTCTTGTATATGTATTTTTTACAATTACTAATGTTTAACATTTGCAGAAATTGTAAATTATTTGCGGTATAAACAACGCATTTACAGCGACCATAATTATTACGATCAATCATAATATAAAAACAATGCGAATATCAATTTAAACCACTAAAAGATGTCACTTGCATTATCAACAATATGTACAATGTTGCGATGTGTTTATGATTAAATGCCTATTCCTTAAATTATATCCTCAAACAATCCACGCTATTTTATGACGTTTACAGATCTGATAGTGCTGTGGAATTGTGTAAAATGACCTGAAGAGGGCGCAATATAGAAAACTGGTTCAGGGAGCTGGAGTAAGTAAAATGACACAATTTAATAATACTGTACGACGAGAATGATTAGGATATCTGCAGTTTTTTTACATCGGTCATTGGTTGTAAAACATAGGCGTACTCAGCTCCTAGTGTGGTTATTTCATCACTATTAATGCACCTAGTGTAATAGCTTTCGACATTCGATGCTAACAGTTACGGTACCTACTTATATATGCTTGTTTGCATGCTTCAATGCACACATTATAATAATAATAATAATAATAATAATAATAATAATAATAATAATAATAATAATAATAACAATAATACTGTAATACCATAATGTTAGTTGACAGCGCGAAAACGTCAATTCGAATGAAAACTAAACTATCATTGGGTGACATTAAAGATTTACTGTCTCATACAATTTACCAAAAAATCATGAAAATCATTTTTGAAATTATTATGCTCATTTTAAAAATATGTTTTCTTTTCATCATTTTTTCAGGGGACATTACATGTTTAAGTAGCGCTTAGTTCACTTCTATAGTGGGGCATTTTAGTAAGGGCGATACAGTACCGTATGCGAATATTTTTATCGTAGGTAAATAAAGCAACAATCATGAATTATTCATAATTCTAATAATATATAACTCGTGAATTTTTGCTTTACTTGCCTACAATATAAAAAAATTGCGTACCCCATGTTCTTTGTACCGTACTTAACCAAAGTGATATGATATTTTTGATCATCGAAGTACTGTCAAATAATTCTAACATTGCAACAAGTCTGATATAGGCCTGGGTAGGCCAATTTACAATAGAGCACCATTTTCGAACTATGATAATTTGCAATACGCGCCTCAATAAGCGTCGTTCTCGAATAATAATCTAAAAGTATATACATGTTCATTTTAGATCAAGGCATGCTTCGTGTTTGTTTACTCTACGAGCAATGACTTTAAAAACAAGTTATTAAATATGCTATAAAAGCTTTCTCTTTTTCCCATGACGTCACGTACAGAAATTTTAAAACCCTTGAAATAACTGATGGACTATGAAACTCTGTATTAACGCACTTGATTACTAAATAGTTTTCTAAAGCATGATTCAGCAATAGAATCATGCGAGAAATATTTCTGGTTTGTGAACGGACTTCCCCGTTAGAGAAGTCTCCCAATAACAACGCACAAGCCTACTCTTGTGTAACCAGGGAGTGGAACTGCAAGGGGGCGGTATAGCTGGAAAAATATTAGAGGCAATTCGAAAAACTTACTGATACGGTATACGCAGTACTAAGTATAGGTATTATAATAATGATAATATTGAACTAAGTCAGTTGGCTTTCTACTTGTATGTGAAAGAAATTGTATAAACACTTTTTAAAAAAATTGATTAAATGTTCAATGCTATTTGTATTTGTCGTTACGTTATTCCTATGAATAAGTTTTGGTATTCCAATAGTAACCAGACATACCTAAGTTATTATTACAACAGTATTAGAGTAGTGGGTCAATATTATAGAATAACCTTTAATATAGTGATTATTACTAGAGCATATGTCCTTAATAGAGTACTTGGTCTCCTCCTCCACCCAATCTAATTGGTTTTCCATTTGACACAACAAACACAGAATTTGCTTACTTCTCGCACAAGATCCTGTACTTGTCATTATCGTGAGATGGTTCTCTGAATCTGGCCCTGGAATCCCAATCTGTGTGAGTCAGGTCCCAATTCATTGATCATCCACCAGGTACACATACTCCCTGGTGAAGGGAGGCACACTTTAGTGTCTCGCACAAGGAAACAATTACGGGGCATACCCAATTATCACAGGACATTGTTTGCACTAATACACCAGAACCACTGGAATTTAGGGCCTTTGTCCATACATCTCGATAGGGTGCTTTTGGGAGCCCTTGGCACCAGCCATGGGTTCAGTTTGCTTGCAATACTTCCACCCGCCTTCCTTCGGCCTCCACCTCTTGATAATGTGATGAAGATTTTCATGAGGAATCTTCGCTACAGTATCATCATCTTAGTTGTTTTAATCATCATCATCATCATCATCATCATCATCATCGTCATCATCATCATCATCATCATCATCATCGTGGTGATTGCATCAGTATTCCATATTACAGTAGGAAAAGACCATGATTTCTGATATTCAATCATTAATTAGACATCTCAGAATGCAGGAAAATGCATTTCCAAGTGTTTAGAAAACAAACATTTTCCTGGAAAGGGCAGTTCATTTTTCTTGGCAATCAGGTTAGTATTCTATGAGTGTCATAAGACAAATAGCCTTGAAAAAGCTAGTGATTACGATGTACTTTAAAAAGACTATTTGAATGACTATTAATATTGCATATGAAGTAGCTAAATTTGCTCAAATGCCATTTATTCTGCCCCTCCCCTGACGGTTTTTACCGAGCTGACCAAGCCGTCGTACCGGGCTGGGTAATAAGAGAAAAGAAAGAGGGAGAGGGAGGGAAAGAAAAGAAAAAGCAAAAAAGAAGAGAAAAATAAAGACAAGATTTAAAAGGAAGATATCATAATGACCAGACTCACAACACCCTGCAACCCCTTCTCCACTTCAGAAACTGTCATAACTCCTTTGATCTATGCTGCCCGATGGCGTAACCATTGGGGGCCAAGGGGGAAATATCTATCTTTGAAAAATCTTTCCCACCCCTTTATAAATGCCTTTTTCATCCCCTGAAAGTACCTAAAAACCTCAAATTTCGCGCGTTCCGCGCGCATTTCTTGCTGACATGGGCCAATTTCCTAAAAAAGTGCACATTTTAGGGAGTTTTGATCAATTCCAACGAAATTAGAATAAAAACACCGGGGGACAAGGGAAGAATATCCATCTTTGGAAAATCTTTCCTCACCCCTTGACAAATGCATCCTCTGAAAGTGCCTAAAATTCTCAAATTCTTTGCGCGCATTTCTTGTTACGGTAGGCCAATTTCCTCTATAAATTGCACATTTTAGGGAGTTTTCATCAATTCCGACGAAATTAGAATTAAAAACACAAAAATGGTGCATTTTTTAGGGCTTTTTTATGTTTATCCTTTTAAGTTACCGTAATCAAAAACACATAATAATCCAAAACTCAATAAAGACAAATTTAAGATAGATCGTTTTAACCTAAAAGAAAGGCCTCAATGTGTATTGATGGTGAAAGAATATGTTTGTAATAAATAAAAGCATGATGAAAATGCTTATATTTAGTTTCAAACACACGTCGTATTGTTTTCTATATGGGGAGTGGGGTGGGGTGGGTATGGTAAATTACTAACCGGGAAAATAAATACCCAAGACCTCTGTTACGTGCCTGGTGTTAGCGCAAATGTGTGCCCTTGTGCGGGCAGGGGATGTGCAACCCCTCTGAAGCTGGAAACCTTGTTTTTGCAAAATAAATGTATGCAATTTGCTATTTTAGGCCTAATCAATAAATTCCTCATCAACCGATATAACCTTAAACATTCTTGGAATTGACATAACATTACTGATGTCGTACACACCCTTCAGTGTGAAATGAGGCTCTCTTTGCAAGCACATCTAACATCTAAGGAAAGAAGAGCTTAGACTGGTACCAAATAAAATAAGTTTGTTATCAACATTAATACATTATGCTAATTTTCATCTTTGTAAGCGCATAAGACAGTGCAAATTATTTCTGTGACAATCTTCAAACCCGGGTAGGTAGAACCTGTAGCCTTTTGCTGGCAACTCTACCACAGTTTTTACTCCAGCTATGGTTTAAATAGTCGGAGCCGAAGTCCCGTAGGCGGTGTTATTCTCCAGCTGCTCAACATGCAGTTTCCAAATCTTCGTCCGGCAGCTTCTGCGATCTACTATGTACCAGATGTAGCCTACTGATTTTCTTCCCTCTGGATCCTACATAGCAGATGGAGAGGAAGCTTCTACAGTATGGGCTGCTTATAAAGCTTCAATTTCTTTGCCCTGGTTTGTTTTTCATCATTGAGAGGTCACTTCATCTGTCTTCATAAGGCAGAAACCAACACGGATGTCGACAGTTACCAGTTATAAGTCAATACTTAATTTGGGGTAGAGTAAGATGCTAGGGGTCGACATCGACAGTGGGAGGGATTATTTAATTCTATTGGAAAGCTACCGCCCGCTTTAAGTTGGGCAGCCCCCAGTCAGATAGGTGCTATCTCCCCACAGGCTGTCTGTTCTGCTGGGTGTGCAGGACTTAGGATTCTATGTTGATCTGACAAGCAGTTAATTCGTACACCAGACACAAAATTAAGACAAAATCTTAAGAAGAGAAAGAAGAAGACGTTAAGAATACTCAGCAGACTGAAATTGGGTAGTTGGAATGTACGCACTCTAACACCAGGCATCTCATATGATATGAGAGAGATTAATGATGAAAGAAAAACAGCTGATATAGAAACTGAGCTAATTAGACTTAACATTGATATAGCCGCTCTACAAGAAACAAAATTTCTGGGTTCTGGAATGCTGCAAGAGAATGAATACACCTTCATCTGGCAAGGGAAACCTGAAGGTTCTGCAAAGAGAATACGGAGTCGGATTTGCAATCCGCAACTCAATTAAGAAATCAACTCTGCAGAAAGGTAGAGTTACAGAACGACTTATTGCTCTTGAAATCCAAACTAAAGCTGTAGCTATCACACTCATTTGTGCATATGCACCCACTCTTCTTGCAGATCCTGAAGCCAAAGATGATTTCTACTCTGAACTTGAAGCATTAGTTGATTCATTTCCACCTGACAGCCATCTCATCTTACTTGGAGATTTCAATGCAAGAATAGGAAAAGATCACATCGCGTGGCCGTCTTGTCTCGGACAGTTTGGAATTGGAAAAATGAATGAGAATGGACAGCGTCTATTGGAACTCTGTACATTTAACCATCTGTGCATCACTAACACCTTCTTCCAGTCAAGCGTCTCACATAAGGTATCATGGCGACATCCTAGGTCTAAAGCCTTGCATCAAATTGATCATATTATTACCCAACGAAGTTTTCTTAACAACATAAACATTTCTTGTACATACCATAGTGCCATTTGCGATACTGACCATTCTCTTGTAGGCTGTACTATTAAGATACATAGCAAGCCAAATTTCATAAACTCTAAACCTCAACCGAAGAATAATCTTGAAAATGTTAAAGTACCAGAGCAGGCTGCTTTGTTTCAACTTCTATTGGAGAAAAATATAAAAGAACCATCCTTAGAAACATCTCCTGAAGAATATTGGCAAAACATCAAAGAAACAACGCTTCGATCAAAGCCTATGGCAAAGCTGCAAAGAAGAACTCGGAATGATTTGATGTAAAGTCCGATAAAATTATGCCAGTCATTGCAAGAAAGAGAGAAGCTTTACAAGCCTAAAAGTTTCATCCGACAGAGTCAAACCTTGTTGATTTTAGGTTAACCAGAAGTGATGTTCAGCGAACTGTTAGAGCCTGTGTAAATGAGTACTGGGAAGAATTGAGTACTACTATTCAAATTGATGCAGATACTGGGAACATCAGAGGCATGTATGAAGGAATCAGGAAAGCATTTGGACTTACAGTTAGAAAAACTGCTCCAATTAAATATATCTCTGGTAATTCCCTCACAAGTCGAGAAGACCAGCTCAATAGATGGGTTGAACATTTCTCGAGCATTTACTCTGTTGAAAATCAGGTCTCTGAAACAGTTTTAGAATGTGTCAGAAGCTTTCCTCCTATGAACGAGCTTGATGTTCCGCCCACATTAGAAGAATTAAAGAAAGCAATCGAAAACTTACTTGTCCGCAAGGCTACAGGAGAGTATGGTATTTCTGGAGAAGTTATTAAGAGTGGTGGTCATATACTAACAAACCACTTACACATTATTTTATGTATGTGCTGGGAAAAGAGCATTATTCCACAAGATCTGAAGGATGCTAACATCATAACGCTGTATAAAAACAAAGGTGATCGAGGTAACTGTGATAACTACAGAGGCATCTCTCTTTTAAGCATTGTAGGAAAAGTTTTCGGAAGAGTTGTCTTTGAAAGGCTTCTAGTGCTCGCAGACAGAGTGTATCCTGAGTCGCAGTGTGGTTTCCGCCCAAAAGGTTCCACAGTGGACATGATATTTACACTTCGCTTGTTGCAGGAGAAATGCAAGGAAAAACAACAACCTCTCTACTTGGTATTTATTGACCTGTCTAAAACGTTTGATCTGGTGAGTCGTGATGGTCTATTCAAGATCCTGTACCATGTCGACTGCCTGCCAAAGCAGCAGATCATTAGGGCATTCCACGATGGGATGCAAGCACATGTTATTTATGAGGGTTCAAAATCAAGACCATTTGATGCGAAGAGCGGCGTAAAGCAAGGGGATGTTCCAGCTTCTACATTATTTGGAATCTTCTTTGCCGTGGTCCTAATGCATGCATTCGCCAACTACCAATCTGGTATCCATCTGAATGGCAGAATGGATGGCAAGCTCTTGAATAGATCTAGGCTGAAAGCTATAACAAAGATCAGAGATTTCTTGCTGAGGGAACTGTTATATGCTGACGATGCTTGCTTTTGTGATCTACTTGACGAAGGGCTACAAATTATGATGGATGCTTTTTCCAACTCCTGCAAAGAGTTTAGTTTGTCAATTAACCAACCTAAAACAAAGATTCTAGTCCAAGGTGTGAACGAAGCTCCCAACATCTTGTTGTATAACACATCCTTTGAAGTTTAATGAAAGCTTTGTGTATCTCGGTTCAACTGTTACTGATGATGCCTCTTTGAAGAAGGAATTCTGCAGAAAAATTGGCAAAGCATCAACAACCGTGGGTAGACTTGCATACCGAGTATGGAAAAACAAAAGGTTAAAAACATCTGTAAAAATCATGGTATATCAAGCCTGCGTTGTGAGCACCCTACTTTATGGAAGTGAGGCTTGGACTTTGTATGCATATATTTCATCTACGCTGCCTTCGAAGGATACTTAACATATCTTGGGAAGATAAGATCACAAACAATAAGGTACTAGAAATCAGTGGCATGCAATCTATGTTTACTCTATTAAAACAACGTAGACTTCGATGGCTTGGTCATGTGTGCAGGATGGAAGATTCCCGAATTCCAAAAGCTTTACTATACAGTGAAACTGCTCAATGGAATAGACCAGTTGGAAGGCCAAAACTAAGTTTCATGGATGTCTGTAAAAGAGACCTTATAGCTGTTGGGATGAACCTGAAAACATGGGAAGCAATAGCCTGTGACAGAGAGTCTTGGAAAGCAAGTGTAGCTGATGGATTAACATCATTTGAGAAAGATTACAGAAAGGAAAATGAAGAAAGAAGAGAAAGAAGGAAAAGGAAACAGCATACAACAAATTATGACGTAGTGCCAACGCTAGATTGTCGATATTGTGGTAGAACTTGTTATAATGAAAATAAAATTGAAGAAAATTAGTTAATCAATTTAATAAACATAAAATTAAACTCTTAAATTTGCAAAATTAATAAGTGAAAAGTCATATTGTCCAAAAGTGCCTTTCTATTTGAGAAATTTTATCTATAGCCGTTTGAGACTGACGGAGCCAATAAATATGAATAATAAGCAGGCATGGATCCAGTGACTTTTTAATTAATTTTGTTGTGTAATATTTTAAGGTGGGTTTCGCTATTTAGTGTGATTTTGAATAAGAAAATAAAATAACTATTGACATTATTCTTCCAATAAGGTTGTATAAATCAGCGTACACATTTCATATCCTCTTTATGTATTTCTGAAGAAGGTAATTCTTGGTACCGTCCGGAATACTGTAACACTTCAAATAGACACCTAGTATTCTATTAGGGATCCATGCTGTAGTAATGCTGTAACCACCATATTAAAGGTTTTCTATAATAATGACACACTATACTAACACTGTAGTAACAGTAACTTAGGTGTGTCTGGTTACTATTGGAATACCAAAACCTTTTGTCTAGGCTTAACGTAATGAAAAATAAAAATGACATTCAACATTTAATCAACATTTTCACAAAGTGTGTTTTGTACAATTTCATAATCTTCTTCACATACAAGTAGAAAGCCATTTTGATTTCATACCATATAAAATACTCAGATACTTCGTATACTGTACAGTATGTTTTTCTTTATGTATGATAATGCCATGCAGCCACTTCTCCACTGGTCTTTGGAGCAGCTGTCTGGGCTTATGTACAGGATAAAGTTGCTGTCATTGGTATTTTTGTTACAACCAATGTAAGAGTGCCAATGTAAACAAAGTTTCGTACGTGTCTCCCATGACATGATTATTGTCATCTGGGCGTGGCCTTTAGGGTCATTATTTATGGTCATGTACAAGGAAAAGTTGCCGTCATCAGTTTTTTTTATGTACAAGTAGTCATTCCGAGTTAGTTTTATCCATGTCTCTTTGTGCTTAATTTTATCACATAGCCACCAATTTAGTCCCGTTGGGCCCCTTGGGACTACTGTCTGGGCTAATGTACAAGATAAAGTTGCTGACAATGGTATTTTTGTTACCACCAATGTATAATAGTGCCAATGGAAAAAGTTTCATCCGTGTCTCTCTTGACATGATTATTGCAATTGTCATTTGGGCGTGGCCTTTAGGGTCACTGTTTCAGGTGACGTACAGGGAAAAGTTGCTGTCACTGGTAAAATTATCTAAAACACCTTCCTGGGAGTGATATCCAATTATTTTTTGTCTATGTATCTCTCCACATGATTAAATGCATTTTTTACCCCTATTTTGTTTCCCCCAGACCGCCTGTACAGGATGTGCTCTGGCAGCAATACTGAATATTGTATCTTGGCCCTATACCATCATAACCAGACCATCAAACCTTTTATCTCTTTTCACATGATTAAATTTTCTGGGCTCCCGGTCTATGAGGCAAACGTTCCTGTTAGCAGAAATGGTCCACAGTGAGCTGTCAGATGATGTTGAGAGTGACGTATTACGAAACTATTTTGTTTCCCCCAGACCGCCTGCCGGTGTGGACTACTTCTGCTAACGGAGAAATATGCAGCATGCAATTTTTCAAAAATTTATTTTTTTAAATTAAAAAATATTGCTTTCCTCGGCATTTTTAGAATATTTCTGAAGACTTTAGGCGAGGATATTCGCTTGGTAGTGTAATGCTATAGCATATTTTGCCCTATTTTTCAACCAGATGCTAGATAGGCCTATTTTATTACAGAATGGATATAATGCACACTGGCCCTGTCACACCTTGACGATTTTGCCAGCGTATGCGGTATGAAAAAATGGCGAATACGCTGGCGTACGTCGAATAAGTTATGGGTAAGTTTCGTATAAGGCTATGTTCAGACACAACGACTTACGCTAGCGTAACGTTAATCGAGTGGTGTGAACTTGTGCGCGGCGTAGCGAACGCCAGTATTATCGCGCAATCACTGGCGTACGGTAATCCAGCAACAGACCCCAGATTAGCGTACGCCACTGATTTACGACATTCACGCATCGGTGATTTTGAACTCAGCCAAGATTTGACCAATCAAAATAAACCTAGATGTAAACAGAAAATAAAATGCGCGAATTACGAATACGAATATTTCGCGCGAATACTTACGCTAGCGTTCATTAATCGCCCAGTCCGGACATCTCGCTAGTTACGCCATGGATTAACGTACGCCTGGCGTATCTCACAGGTCTGAGCGTAGCCTAAGGAGTACTTCGAAAAGTTTTGTGCATGCACAAAACTTTTCGACGTATGCCAGCGTATGGCTTGTACTTTCCGCATACGCGGGTCATAAGTTGTAGGTAAGTTACAACTTATCACACGTTACTTGTAAGTTACTCAAAAGTCAAAACGTATTTCTAACCTATGAGTAACGTGCTTCAAACTTATATGTAACTTATAACGAACTTACCTTTAACGTATGTAGACGTATTTGACGAGTTCTAGACGACCACAAAACTTACTGAACGTGTTTCTAACTTACAGTTATCGTGCGGTTATGATTTGAATTGAATCGACGAGCGGCAGCCTTTTTTATAGGTTGTGCGTTACCGTACGTGATAAGGCAAAAAAGTGTTTGTTTGCCCTCCCCACCCACTCCTAACTCACTGGAAAAAATGGGGGCGGAAAAAAAATATCATTATTTTTTGCCAGATGCTCTAAAAATTAGTCTAAAGGTGTTGTCTGATGTAAGATATTGCCATTCTAAGACTCTGCTGGTTATTTTTATTCCATCTGATGAGTATTTTTTTTAAATAAATAAATAAACAAATAAATTTTTCACCCGCCCCTATTTATCATTTTTTTTAAAAGAAGGGCAAACAAACAATTTATTTCATTTGGCCTAATCGGCGATACGCTGAGCATAAGTTGTAAACGCCGTCAACACGCTAAGCATTCGTTCATGTAAGTTTTCTATAAGTAATCAAAACGTTCTATATAATTTACTAATACGTTATTTATACGTCCAATAAGTTATGAATTCGCTATGAATGCGCCCTAAGTTGAAAAAGGCATCGATAGTTCAGCGTTTATGCTAGCGTTTTAGAGAAATTTTGATACGTTTGTAATTGTAATTGTTTAATTTCTCTACATAGCAGAGGTCTTAAGAAGCCTGATTTGCAGGTGAAACATTTATTGATGCTTTAGCCATTGATACCGACACTGTTTGTGAGAATAAATCACTCCTGGTTGGTAATAAAAATATTTAAAAAAATATCTTGGTTTTTATATATTTTCTTGGAGTTTTAATTGCTAGTTCAGAAAACAGCTATATGTTTTTATTTATTAGGTTTTTTTTAGATCAGAATCAGCTGTAGGCCTATCATTGTAAGCATTGACTTCAACGAAGCATGATAATGGTATTGTATTAAGGGGTTTTTTTTCTTTTAAAATCGACATTGAGAAATAGTTGTTTTGATATAATGCTGATAATAAATTAAAATATCGATTATTCTAAGAAATTATACCAACCATATGGAGTCCCGTTAAAAGTATTCATTGTAAATTTTGTTTTCTGCATGGTAAGTTATTCGTTGTTTTTAGTTCTTTTTTTTTTTCTGTACAATGCTAGAGTCAGCAGATGTTTGAATAAACATTCGTTAATAAAGCAAGCATATCCTGTTTTCATTTAATTTGTCCAAAATCGCCCTTTAACTCTATTATATATAACATCATCACGAATTAATAATTTTTTTCAACTGCACAATATTATTTTGCTTAGCCTTTCTTTTATTATGTGTGGTATTTTATAATCATAATAAGTGAACTACATGGCTTGTGAACAGATTATTTTGTTTAAAATTTTACGATTTCGAGTGCAATGATATTCGTTTAAAATAGAATATTCTACCTAATTTTAAAGTAAGTGTTGTGTATGAATTAAATACATACACACTACAAACAATGTTTAGTTTTAAGTTTGGAAGTAACTACTTTCGAGTGTCCGTGCAGTGTAAAATTCTGCTTTTAAAATTGTATTGCATAATTAGATACATATCATATTTCATAGGCCTGTTTGAATAGACGTGTGATATGTTGCTTTTTAAATGTTATATTTTATGAGGTTGGTTTGGTTTTTCAATTGTCCAATCCAATTGTGTCTGATCATTTAAAGTTCAAGATCGTAGGACCTTGATATCATTAGCATAAACGTACAGTGTGAGTTTTGATTTCACAATGGAGGGTTCCACCAAAACCTCTGATTCAAGTACCCTTAGGTAAATATTCCTTTGCTTTT